AGAGAGAGAGAGAGAGAGAGAGAGAGAGAGAGAGAGAGAGAGAGAGAGAGAGAGAGACAAACAGAGACAGAGACAGAGACAGAGACAGAGACAGAGACAGAGACAGAGACAGGCAGACAAGCAGAGACCGAGACAGAGACAGAGACAGAGACAGAGACAGAGAGGCACAGACAGACAAACAGACAGACAGACAGACAGACAGACAGACAGACAGACAGACAGACAGGCACAGAAAGACAGACTGACCGACCTACCGATCGACCCACCTACAACAGACAGACAGACATAAATGCTGCTGCTCCTCCTCCTCCTCCTCCTCTGGTGCCACTTCTTTTGAGAACCTTATATTGGCTAAGTTATGGAGGTTCTCACCTCAAAATCTTCTGCAAATCCAGTGAGCTCACTGAGGGCAAACCCAAGAACGCGCTCCCCATGACTGCCCAGAGTATCGCATGCACTCGTAAAACCATATCTCAGTTCTTCATTGAGTGCCTGAGGCTTTCCAGCTACCATCATCTTAGTGCATTTCTCAAGCACTCGCTCTGGTGCACCCTTCATGACCAGCAAAGGGGGTTTTGACTTTTCTTCCTGCCTGCTCAGCTTGTGGCCATGCAATTGTCACAGACGTCGTCAACATAAATAAAAAAGAAAAGGAAGGAAAAGAAAAGATGCCAACATAATGAATGAACGAAAGGACGAACTGAGCGGCATTTCAGTCACAGTGATGAGTACGGCGATGCAGATACAATCAATACAATTGTTCCTGTGACGATCTGCTTTCCGGAACGCATTGTTTTCTGCAACCCCTCTCTTCATTTTGGCGCAGGGGTTGTAATCTATTGGCTTCTGAACGATCGGAATGCCCCCGACCTTTTTTTCAAGTTTGTGGTATACCGTATACCGTTTCTTTTGTTCTTCTAAATAGGATCGATAGAGAATTTATCTTAAGTTTCGGTTTTGTGTGAAACTCCTAGTTCTGTTTCCGTTTGCGCCTTGGCGAGCGCACACAACTTTTAGAATTTTCTTGGGAATGACAGACAGATCTCCGTCTCGGAATAGAGGTACCACCAGTCTTCTTCCTCGGCAATTCGTTTGACAAGTTTTCATTGCTTTTGCATGTTCTTGATTTCTTGCTCCTGTGAGCGCGCAGGAACTTGCTACTGCAATGCTGCATTTTTTCGGTTGCACGCAGTGCCTTTAACTTTGTTGCACCGGCTCATGCTCCCCCCCTCCCTCAGCCTTCTAACCGTCTTGCCCTTCTCCCCTTTCTCCTCCACTTTCTCCCGCCATTTCTTGAAACTCTATTCCCACTGTCCCTTCCTCTTCTCTTGATTGGCTTGCTGGCTCTGCATGTCCAATCGTTGTGTGGAGAGAGGTTATGCTCCCCATGCCGCGGTTTTGATAATGCAGAACAACAACCCTTCCCTACTTCTTTCCCTCCTCATTCTTCCTTCCCCCACCTTACGCATTGCCACTATAAATCTTGCAAGCGTGATCTTTGCACTTGCGCTGTTAACTTTTCTTTCTATTAAGGTTGTGTAGGTTGGAGACAGTCTAGGGTGGTCCTATATATTGTGCTCTAGCTGTTTCAGAATGTTGCCAGATTGGGTAAATCAGTTAGCTTATGACGGCCGATTGGCGAGTCAGAGGGTCTCCAATCGGTTGGCCACAAATCGAGCGGGGTTGGTAATTGTCATGACAGATTATGGGGCTTCCGTGAACTTCACCATGTTTGATAGCCGCGTGATGGTTGCCAAGGTACAGGGCAAGCGTACGGCGGCGGTGGACTGTTGACGATCGAGTGAAAGGAGGTGTGATCAGGTCCACCTGGCTAGTTTGCGATATGGTTTGAGAGAGTGGGGTAATACGTTTCTTGCCCCCTTTTTTCTTTTATGGAGGTTGAGCGTCCTATACAAACTATCTTATAACAATTCTTTGTACCGACGGCATGTCACTACCCTCTTCCGTCCAATGCACTGCATCTCAAATTCTCAACCATAAATGTACAAAGTTACAAACTATCTTCCTGGCGTATTGCAGTCATAATGAGGGTGCGTGCTCAGAGGAAGACAGTAGCAAAGACAGTAGCTTTGAGACTCGTCAAACCTCTATGAACTCCGACCGAGGACCCTCAAGCGGGCTTTGTCAAAAGCAGAAATACGTTAATAATATACTTACCAGTACCTATCATCAAATGACATGAAGTGATGGAATAAGGAGACAAGGTGAATGGAGCTCTTCTATTGTATCTAGAAGAGGTCTTCGATGGAGTCAGTTGGTGCTTTGCCATAACACAATGTCGGTGAAACACGGAATAGGAAAAAGGAAAACTATTGGGTTGAAACCAGGGTTCATCCCTGCCGACAGCCGACCATATTGCAGCCGACCAGTTGGGCCGACCGGTCGGCGGTATGCCAACCAGTTGAAAAAAAAAAAAAAAAAAAAAAAAAAAAAAAAGCATCCACTGATTTTTTTTCAAATCTGAGTTGGGGCTGTACTGCGCTTGCTGAGTACAGCCCAAATCCGCTGAGAAACTCTCGGGCATGGGGGGGGTATGGGGGGGTTGGGGTTGGAGTATAGGGGGGTATAGGGGTGATATAGGGGGTATTGGGGGGGGTAATGAGGATGCTGGGGGCGGTTTGGGGGCAGTTTGGGGGGGTGTATGGGGGTATTGGGGGCCGCTATGGGGGTGTTGGTGGTGTTATTAGGGGTTCTGGACCCCAAAAAAAAAATAAAAAATCCCAGGGGTGCCGACGACCCCCGACCGATAGGTGCCGACCAGCCGATCAGTCGGCGGGTCGGCAGCCGACCAGTCCAGGCCCGCCGACCGTCGGGGGGTGCAACCCTGGTTGAAACCATCTTTATGAATTTCACAGCGATGGTACTAACCAATGGTAGCTTGTCCAACCCATTCAAGCTACCGAGATCACTTAGACCAGGTTTCTCTTCAAATGGGTGTCTTACTGACTACAAATGGAGCAAATCTGGACATAGAGGGCCTAGCCATCACAGACTGTAGTCAGTGTAAAGAAGCGCCATGGCTGACAATCTTTTGACAAGTGCTGCAAACACCCCCGAATCCCTTCATGCACTAAAATTTAAAAGCTGGCCTCGACTTACTACAACTGGAGCAAGTATGGACAAAGTGGGCCCAGCCATCCGCGGGGGTTGTCAGTGTAAAGGACGCGGCGACACGCCATGGCTGATGATCTATTAGCAAGTGCTGCAAACACCCCCGAATCACTTAGCGTGTCAAAATTGGAGCTTCACTTATACATCCTTCTCTCTAAAGTTTCAATCAACACAAGTGGAGGCCCACCACTATGGTCTTGAGACGTTCAAGCGTACAAAGAAACTAGGGATGGGAGACGCGACCAATGAGCGAGATGGGAAACTTCGTCAGGTCCAGGTTGCGCCTGTGGCTTGCGCAAGGGGACAAAGCTTCATCATTGAGGAAATAGTGTGTATAACAGAAAAGTCTCAAAACCACAAATAGTAAAATACCCATCCCAGCTGTCCTGTGTGCAGCAGATGTTTATCACGGCACCGTAGCAAGGCTTGGCTCGACCTACCGAACCAAAATGGCTGGCCACGCCCGCTCCAATGAGTAGCCCGGGTCATCCATACGACCCCGTTTACAAGAGGAGGCAGTGGGATATTCCACAACCCAAAATAGTGAAACCATCCATAGAACTTGGGCAACGATCCGCAATCCCTAGAACTGATAATGTGAACGTTCTCACCCCACCTAACATACAGACCGCTAGTGAAACATTTGATCTACTGCGCTCTACACAAAGGTGCCTCATATCACCCCCAGCAATAACCCAAGCTGTTAACATCAACACAAACACTAGACAATGATGGAGAATAATAAGAAGAAGGTGACATGAGTATTACATATCATGGCGTTGCCACCTTCCTCCCCACATTCCTCGATCAGAACTCCGTCGAGGATACTCAATCCTTCTCACTCATACGCCACTCAGATTGAGGCCTATGTTACCGGGTACCCGGCTTATATACGTGCATTCATACGAGTGTAGCTCATAGCACCTGCGCCACAGCAAAAGGGTGTCAAAAACAGGTCTACATCCACGCTATTTTTCGATTGCTGTACTTAGGCCCACGTACTGGCCAGGTAAATTCCTACGAGTGTAGCTCATAGCACCTGCGCCACAGTAAACCCGTCGAAAAACAGGTCTACATCCATGCTATTTTTCTATGCTGTACTTAGGCCCAAGTACTGGCCAGATACAAATTTATGATAATTTATAATCTAATAAATAGAATCATCAATATAAGAACCCCGATACATCGTATGCCGATTAAGCTGTTCCTGAACCTATACCAGGCCAAAGACATGTTCGTTTTTACTATGCTACCACAGTACGTAAACAGGATATCAAGAAATCCACACAATCGCACAAAAGGGCATACGAGCGGGGCGCTGCACGTGCGACGGCTCCCTCTGTTCAGTACCAGAGCACATACGGCCAGGATACAACAGCGGACTACCGCGAAGTATACCTTACTTACCTTGCAACACTTCACCGGACACTCGTACCCGGCCTTAATGCCGGTCGCATCCATAATATCGAAGGACAAAAACATGCAACGTTTTGACGGGCCAAGTCACCGAAGCATGACACCACCGTGCTCAGTCCGGCAGGCGGATCTCCACTACCGGAGCAGCAGTAGATCGGCACATCTGTCACCAGGGCAGGCCCATCATTGTCCTGGTTTCGATTGCAGACTTAACGAAGCCATCCTGCTACTACTTCAGACATTTTTTCCCAGAATGGGGACTTGTTCCTGGAGTTCATCCACCGTAGCCCGGCCGTAATCACTTTGCCAGGGTAAGCCTGCTTTCGTAATTCTTCCGTGAGACTGAGAACATTCAGGAAAGTTATGCCCCCATTATTGGAGTTATTACGAATGCGTAGGACTGTGTTGGCCACCGTGGCGAATTTCGACATCCGGGGCCCGAAAGATGAGAAGTCCTTGAAGGTTCGAAACTTCAACGGACCATCATCCCAGATTGTGCCTGCGTTCTTAAATTTGTGGGACATCAGCAGACAAGCAGGTTCCCCCCGGGTCAGCAGCCGTGTCTCCAGAAAATCCAGGTCCCCATTCCCAGGGTCGGTTCGTTCCAGTATCAGTCCAGCCGGATAACAACTTGTGATCAGATCAAGGCGTTTGTTAGCCTTCTCACACCCCCCCGGGTCGCTCACTCGGACGAAGGACACAATCAACAAATCGTCAATGTATCCGGTGATGAATTTGCTGTCCAAGCCCAGTGCCTGCAGGAACTGATACTCGGCTAACATGCACATCAGACAGGCTAATGGGGGGCTGGCCCTCCCACCCATTGGAATCCCTTTCAGCTGCCGCAAGATAACGTTTGACACTAGAAAAAAGGTGTTATCAAGCTGAAAGTCAGTAAGTGAGCCCAACATACTGAGTTTCACAGACCCGTGCGATTTCCCAAAACAGGCAGTTCTCTTCCTAAGGTTTACTCTAATCCTTAGGACCCCTTTCTGCTGGAACAGGCCGACCACCCATCGGACAGCCCGACTTATCTCGGAGTGAGGTAGCTGGGTGAACATCTCCTTAATGTCATACGTCCGGGCCTCAAAACTGAGGTCAGGCAACCCGGTCGCGTTCACATACTGGTTAATCTTGTCGATTTCTGACTTTAGGTCCCCCATCGAATGCAGGTTGAAGTGTGGAACAGCCACCTTCTTAATCAGTGTATTAAGCATGGTGGACAACAGTCCTGAGGCAGTCCGAAAAGGACTTGCGAACGAAGGGACTATGGGTCGCTTCTTAAGCTTATCCTTCTCTTTCGAGAGGATATACGCGTACTGCAGGTCCCATCCTTATCCCATCTCGCGACTTCAGCAAGGTTGCAGCGATGATACTCATCCTTCATTCCCTGAAGGACAAGGCACTTGGGCCTGCTCACAGTCTCATAGTTCTCATTGTCTAGGAACATCTTCCTGAGGCCGGCTTCATACAGTTTCGGGCACTCTAACCAAGTCTCACTTGTGTTACGATCCAAAGACGACAGAACCAACCCTCTGAATGCCTGAGCTACCCCTATTACATATTCACTTCGTACACAACCATCGGCCATCCCAACACCTGGCCTGCATACGTCGCGGCAGTCTATCTTGACGTGCTCAGAGATGCCAAGTGACTGTCTCAGATTCTCCACCGCCTCGTTGCAACACTTCCCCAGCACATCCTTCGTCGTGAGAGTGCCGGGAAAAGGTACATTCTTTGCATTGAATAAGAAAGGCTTAATATCATCAATTTCGCTGAGCTTCACCGCAACGTGCCCATTCATCATGGGCAGGTCAAATCCAGCGCAGGTGCAGTCAAATGACTCCATCTGTGCAAAGGATTTATGGTTATGCAGGATATCGCCGACGGTCCTGGCTTTGAGCCAGACTGCCCGCGTCCTCCTAGCATACAGTTGAGCCAACGGAACTGGTCAACCCTTTCCAAAATCCATGATTTCACGACGCGCTCGACATTACACTTGTTAATGGATGTACAAAAAGGGATCTTTATAACGACGTTCAGACGAGGGTTAATCCCAAACTTCTTCTTGAAGACATTGGTGAGTATTCCACGGACTATCTGCCGACCCCTGCGCTGGTTAATCGATTTGACACCGTTATTCAGATCAATCAACTTATCCAACGACACAGAAAACAAGTCTCTGCGCTCCCATTGCGCCCTTAGCAAAGCAATGAGTTCAGCTTTCAAGAGTTCAGTTCTAGTCTTAGTCTGGAGCAAACCAATAACAGACCAATTACCCCCGCTTTCGATCCTAGTGCGGGCATCCTTCAACAACATTCGTACGCCCTGCATTTCAATCTTCGTGAATCCAAACAACAGCTGAACCAGCCTCCAGGCTTTCAACCAACGTGCCCCACTGTTATTACTTACAAGCACATTCCCTTTCACCTTCATCTTAGATAGTGCTTTCAGAATTCTTAGCAGATCCGGCTCCTGCCGCATGGCCACCACAGCGCAATCAAAAAACAGAGGCTCATTGACATCATTAGGCGGCACTCTATCTACCTCCCTCTTTCTACCACGACACCGACGAGGCTTCCGTTTAGTCTTCCTCCCTTTCGTATTTAGGCCAGGATTGTGACCGCTAATGATCTTACTCTCCATTCCCTCGATAGCCAGTTCATCCCCAAACCAGATTGGTATCGGGACATAATGCTCTACCCCAACCTTCCGAAGCCACATGTGCACATGCTGCTTGCTACTCCCTTTCACACCACGAAGGTGCTCACCCCACCGTTCTCTTAGAGTGCGTGTGGTTTTTCCCTTATAGATTGCTTTATGGTTCAAGGACATCAGGGCGTACACACAACTCTTCCCCTGCATCATCTGCTCCCACTCTCGGGAAGTCATGTGTAGCCAGAAACCCACATAAGCCCTTCCCCATGCAATTTCATCCCAGAGGCACGCAAGCAAAATCACGAGGATATACACAATATCCAATAACGAAGCCAAGGCACTATTGACACAACATTTTAACTTAAGAATCCTGGCAGCGGCTCGCCTTAGGGAGCATAGACTCCCAAGTGTCACTTTCCTGCAAGGTTGCTTCCTGGGTCACCCTCAGCTACAGCCGTATTCTCAGCGCGGCTCGGCCCGGCGTTACGTCCAGACGATTCACCTTTCTGGGACGGAGGGTCTTCACGCAGTGAGTCAGCGTACTCTTGAAGGTCGATTCGGGCGAGCTCCCATGCCCCCATTTCCTTTCGGAAGTATTGCACCTCCCGCTGCTTGCACATCTCCTGCACCCTGGTGTAGTGGAGGGACTAATAGAATTCCAACCGCATTTTCATATAAGCGGCCAGTCCCCCATCATCACTTTCCTCATCCTCCTCCTCAACCAGGCTATTCTGCGTCACGTTCCCCTGTACTGCCACGTCCACATCCTCTCCCTCGTCGGCATCATCTACCGTACTATTGGCCCCTGCTGGCTGCACTGCCGGCCCAAGGGGTCTCTTCCCTTTCGGATCCGCCAGGCCGTCAACCAGCGCTGCGAGCAGTTTCTTTACATCGGCGAGGTCCGAGCTCCCTTCCATTTTCACACTGAGGTTCTGCTTCACACCATCGACCCCCGCTGCCTCCTCGTCGGAGGAGATTTCGATTCTCTTAGTCCGGCTCTTCGTCTGCCCGCGCGCCCTCGACTTCCCAACGTTCTCCTTCGGAGTCTCAACGGTCGGGGTCCTATCACCTCCCGTCTTCCTTTTCTCACTGCTGGAATCTCTCTTTCCTTTCTCAAAAAGGGCTTTTTCAGCTCTCAGTCTCTCAAGCTCCTTTTTCTCAGAATTAGCCAACTTCGATTTAGAGTCAACTTGATCCAACTTCTGCGTGATTGCTTTTAGTGAATCACCAAGAGTTGTCGTGACCCAGGCCTTCATCTCCTCACTTTTGTCAACCGATCTCACCTCCGATCTGCAACTCTCCACGGTGTTCTCCGCAATGCGGTTGATGTTGCCCCGGCGACCGTTCGCTATCTTCTATCTCGCATCCTCGAGCGCCTTGTTCGACTTGATGTCTTCGAGTATGTCCATATACTCTTTTGTGAAATAAGCCATGTTCCTGGGGCCGGGAAAGGCACAGGCGGAAAGCCCTTTGCCACCACCGTTCCCCTGCCTATTATCATTGTTGCTTGACGCAGGCAGCTGCATTGGAGGAGGAGGGGGAGGAGGCAGAGGAGGAGGAGGAGGAGGAGGATTAGGGAGTTGAGCTGTTTGCATATTCGCTTGCATGCCCGCAGGCGGCATATTCACGGGTGGCATACCCCATTGTCCGGGCGCTTGCCAGGGGCCGGGCCACATCTGCATACCCCATGGCGGGTTCTGCATGTATGCACCGGTCATAGCTGGTCCAACGGCCGGTGGCACCATCGTCGGAGCCTGTCCGCCACTCATCGGTACTTGCGCAACAGTCTGCGCCTGGTATTGCTGGGGCATCCCAGCCTGCTGGGCAGGCATCCCATTGGGATAATGGCCCCCACTGCCCTGATGCGTCGCACTCCCGGACGGATTCATACTCAACCAATATCTGCCGCAGTTTGACCACCGTCCGCGTCGGCCACCGCCTTTGTGTCCTCGACCGTACATACGACTCAGAAAGGAATACGCAACCAACGCTAGCCCAATTCCTCGAGCGATGGACCAATAGGAGTGGTCCGGCCGCTTGTCGATCTCCCAGTCCCACAGCTTAACCCGCCATGTCATCCCAATCTGCTCATGCTTCGTCGGCGATCATCCGCCGAATACAGAAGATACCCGCGCTGCCGATCGTCACGTCGCGAGCGAGCGAATACGCACGGTCGCCTGTCAGCTGGAGGTCACGCGCGCCGCCCAACGGACTTTCCGGTACAGCAAGTGCTCAACTCCACACCGCGGCTCAGCACCCAATACGATACGTTAACCACATCCCACATACGCGAGGTCCGCCGACTTACAGTGTATGAAGAAGCTTCAAGCGAGCAGCGTAAGAGCACCAAGAGCGTTCGATACGGCTACCGCTACCACCTACGAGAGAAAATTGAGTGTGCAAAGTACACGATTGAAACGCGTCTTGCGCAACTCCTTAACCACACACCAATATTGCATACTATTGCGTAAAATTTGCATAATAATGCGTACAAACGCATGAAATCGCAACAAGAAGCTACGGATAGACGATTGACCAAATGAGTAAATAGATGAGCAAATAGATGAGCGAAATGAAATAAATGGATGAGCGCAACGATCTCAATGAGATCGACACCTCAGACTCGTTCCCAAGCCATGGCAAGGTCGAGTCTGAGGCTCTGTACCATCAACACAAACACTAGACAATGATGGAGAATAATGCATGGGTCCTGGGGACCATCTCACGCAGATGTGTACATGTCATGCATCATCTTCACACGCAGTGATCAATAGTCTCAACCATAGACAAAGGTAGAGAAGAAGAGGACCGAGTTTCACAGCTTATATTATTAGAAATATGATTACAAAGTGTTTCAAAGTTCCCCTGAGTCCAGCGCTCATCAGCGCAACACAAATCTTTGTTCAACTTATCAATGTGATTTCCAAGGCATCAGCGCTACCCCTGCAGATTGTCTCCCAATCATCAACGTGGTCATAACTCATCGGCGCCACCTCTGCAGTTCACAACCAACTCAGGTACGTGTCTCCCATAGCCAAACCTTGAATGAACACTCTATATCTCAGTCCCTTCCTCTTACGATGCATACACATTCTCTACTCATGAGGATCTACTCTGAATACTACTCATAGCTACACACTAACCCACTACTACTAATGCTAACTCGCTGGGCAGCTATGGCTGCGTCATCTCCAGCGTACAGGCTTTTTCCTGCATTCAGCGCATCTTCTACCTCCAGCGCTGTTCCTCCTGACTCAGCGCACAAGTGCACCAGCACTTCCACGCATTGCAGCCAGTGGAGATCTGGCGAGGAATGAGGCAGGCAGTTCCCTTTATAGTGCTGGTCATTCCTCGTTGGGTCTGCATTGGTTCACTTCAGTCTTCCTTTTGTCCCAGACCCTGCATTGCATGTGTCCCAGTAGAGTCCCAATGAAGTTCAACTGCTGYTGAGGCCTCTCGGCCTGTATTTGGACTTGAAAGTCTGGATTTAGACTGACTCCTTGACTTAGACCAGAACTGGGACTGTGCCTATTGACTTTACTTTCGGACAGGCACAACTCTCAATGAACAGACACACTTACTGCCTGAACAGACACTTTCCTTTGCACGAACAGGTACACTGCCTGCTCGTACAGACACACTCTTACCCGAACAGACATAACATACACATCTCCTGGTGAACAGGTAAGTCCTTTGACAATGCCCTTTGCCTTAGATTTAGATGTGCCTGTTGACAAAGAACTTGACCTTTGACCTGCTTTCACGTTTCTAAGCCCTGGCGAGATACCTTTTCACAATGCTTTACTTTTACAAGGCCCGAGCTGCTTCACTTTTACAAGGCCTGAGGCCTACATCGGGTAAAGGCCCTTTTACTCTCGCCGGCCTAATTTCGAAGTCCTCTGAGACTCATTTACCAATCAAGGATATGAATCCCTCTCTTTGCGCTTTCGTGTGCAGACACAATATGAGGTGCAAAATCTAACAGCTCTTCTCTTGTAAACCAGCGATCTTCACTAGGATTCTGGTATGCAAACCTCACCTTATACTGTCGCTGTGGTCTGCCTCTACGTCCAGTGTGGTAAGTACTTTCCGCAACAATTTTATCCACGTCATACTTCCCATACATACTTGGAGGTATCGCTGATCGGCGACTTGGGAAGGGCTCATTCGTTACACAAGGTAAGAGCTTGGATGCATGGAACACTGGATAAGTACGTAGATGAGGAGGAATCTCAATGACATACGAAGGACCATCCACATCTCCAATTACGTCTAGAACCTGCCAAGGTCCTCTGTAGGTGGGTAGAAGCTTCTGAGAGATATTTTCTTCAGGAGCAAACTCTTTAGACTTCACCCAAACCAAATCTCCTACAGCAAATTGAGACGGGCGTCTGTGTTTATTTGCCTGTTCAATCATTTGATGTTGTGCTTTAAGTATATTTTCTTTTACTTTCTCAATGTCTTTCTGATATTGGACTGCAAATTCACTAGTCCCTACAGGAAGCTTGTGTACTTGATCCGGGTTCAATCGATCAATGGGTCTGCGTGGACGCCATCCCAGATGTAACTCCATAGGAGTCTTACACGTAGATAGGTGCACATAGTTATTATAGGCACTAGCAACCTTAGGCAGATGTTCATCCTAGTCAATCTGATCGGGACGAATGTACATGCGCAGAGTTTGATGCAATATCTTGTTCATCTGCTCTGTCTGGCCATTAGTTTCAGGATGTCTGCCTGATGACATAGTCAACTTCGAGCCATATACATTCATCAGCTGCTGCCATTGTTCACTTGTGAACCTGGTATCTCTGTCACTCACAATAGTTAAGGGATGTCCAAAGTCTTTCACCCAATGGTTAAAGAATTCGCGAATCACTAAATCAGTCTTCGCTTCCGAAGGCAAAGCTACAAAAACAGCATACTTAGTGAATCTATCCACTATGACCATTACTTGCGTCTTCCCATTTCTGCTTTTTACCTTAGTGTCCATGAAATCTATAGAGACAGAGTCTCCAGGGCCGGTAGGGATAGGCAAGGGCTTAAGTAGCCCGAGGGGCAATTGCGTGGGGTTTTTGTTTCGTTGGCACACTTGGCAACCTTGCACATACGCGATACAGTCTGCTTTCATCCGAGGCCAGGTGTAGGAATGCAATAAAGTCCAATAGGTCTTTTTCCACCTGAAATGGCCTTCTATATCATGGCATTCCCCCAAGATCATACTTTTGATCTCTTCATTATTGGGTATACACAGCCTATCATGCATATCAGTTCGTTCAAACAATAGACCCTCAGTTACTTAATGATCGGGAAACTCTGCTGGCTTTTCTTGCATTAGCTTAATCATGGTTCCGTAAACAGGATCAGAGGGATACGCATTTCTAATCTTGTCTTGTAGGTCAGCACCTACGTCTAGATAGGTCACAATAACACCGAAAAAGTCTGATCTACGACTTAGTGCATCAGCAACAACGTTATACTTACCCTTTACTGGCTTCAATTCGAAATCAAACATATCAATTTCCGCAGCCCACCTTGTCAACTTAGGTGTCATTCGAGCTTGCGTTTTGAGCCACCGAAGTGTTTCATGGTCAGAGTATACTTTAAAATGCCTTCCTAGAAGGTAGTGTCGCCAATGATTGAGAACCTCGCGCAGAGCATACAACTCTCGTTCATACGTTGAAGCGGCCACCTTCTCGTTAGGTAAGCGGCAAGACATAAACTCTACAGGTCTGTACCCATGCCCATCATCTTGCTGGAGTACAGCACCTATACCATATTGACTAGCGTCGGTCGTGACCACGAAAGGTAAGGAAGGGTCCGCCACTTTAAGAACCGGGTAGTTGATCAAACACTTCTTCAGACGCTTGAAGGACATCGTGCAGTCTGAATCCCACTTCCAAATTACTTCTTTCTTAAGCAATCGGCGAAGGGGAGCAGCTATTATCGTAAAGTGTCTTACGAACTTTCGATAGTAGTTGGCTAACCCAAGGAACGACCGCAACTCAGTCAAGGTGTGGGGGTTCGGCCAACCTCTGATTGCTGCTATCTTTGCATCTTTCGGTTTGACCCCATCTCCATCGATCACATGTCCTAGGTATAGCACCTGACGCTTAGCCCATTCACACTTCTTTGGGTTTAACTTGAGTTTTGCTTCCCTTAGCTTATTTAGCACAAGTCGAAGGTGCTCAGCATGTTCTTTTTCATCTTTGCTGAAAATCAAAATATCGTCGAGATAAATCACAACAAATTTATCGAACCACTCACGAAATAGCTCGTTCATTGTTCTTTGGAAAGTGGCAGGGGCATTCGTGAGACCAAAGGGAAGAACTATAAACTCATAGTGCCCATACCTTATTCTGAAGACAGTCTTGTGTTGGTCTTCCGGCTCAACCTCAATCTGATGGTAGTCGGACTTTAGATCAATTTTTGAAAAGACTTTGCTTCCCTGCACGCGATCTAGCAAATCGTCTATTCGCGATAACGGTTCGGCATTTTTCACTGTTATGTCATTTAACCTCCTATAATCTATACACATGCGAACGCCGCCGTCCTTTTTAGGCACAAAGAGCACAGGCGTACCATAGGGTGAGGAGCTAGATCTTATCCAACCATTTTTCAACAACTCATCGAGTTGGGTTCACAGTTCATCCAATTCTTGGGGCGACATACGATAGATAGGCCCCTTCGTGGGCGCTCTCCCTGGAATGATATCAATGCGGTGGCGGATTGGTCTTTCCACTACACCGCTTGGGGCTTCAGCCACATCTGTGAACTCTTTCAGGATCCTCTCAATCTCTTGGGACCTGACTTCTTCCTTTGTTTCTCCTTCCTTTACTGGGCGCACATATGCAACAAAGACTTGGTCATATAAGTTATGTTTCTTAACATGGCGAGCGAACGATGGGGCACTCATACAACAGTCAGCTAGGCTGCTTTCCTTTCCTGATTCATGATAGAGGCGAATCTTTTTCTTACCTCCTCGCGGACTTGGGAGCCAACATTCATGTTCCCTTAACTTTAGATCCGCATGCGCAGCCTCACCCCAATCCATTCCTAACAACACATCAAAGGGCAAGTTATCCTCCACCAAGAAGGTCAGAGAGTGGAGAACGCATTCCACCTTTCCCTCTGCCTCTAGCCGAAAGTATATTTGTACCCCCTCAACGTATCGATCCATGATGGTTTCGCTACTATTAGCTAGCTTACTTACAATGGGCTCATTTAACTTCTTAACCTTAAGCCCAAAACGCAATTTTTGCAAACCTTCCTTACTAATGTAACTACGTGTAGAACCGTTGTCTATCATACCTCATACTCTTATTCGATTTATCTCTAGATCTGCAATTATATTAGTTGTCCTTTCCTTTTACGCATCTCAATCCAGGCTTGGCGACGAGCGGCCAACTCATCACCCACGCCAGCGAGGGATCCATCTAGAGAGATGCATACGTTTGCCACCTCTGGACAGTGTACTCGATGGGGACTTACTTCCTTTTCAGATTCTGCCATTGGGGCCTTCGAATGGGAGGATTCTGATTTTTCAACATTCGAAGCCCCGGTAGAGGCAACTGGCACCTCTACTGGCTGTTCCCTTTTGCCCCCCTATAGTCAGGGCAATAGGGGACAATGTGGTCGGGGTCCCCACATTTGAGGCATTGATCTGCCTTCTTCCTTTCGGCCCAAAATTTTTCTGTAATTCCCAACTCTCTCCAAGGCTCTCCTTCCGGTAGGCCTGGATGTGGTGGGTATGGCTTATCCCACTTGTTGTACCATGAGCCTCTTCCTCTACCCCAGGTGGAGTAA